ACAAGAAATACGGTTCAAGGCTCAACGGGCTACTAGTGAAAATATAAGTTCAAGGGTCAATGAAAGGCTAAAACGAGCTATGTCAAAGAAATGCCTCAATCATTTTCACAAATCACAACTTCAATCACATCATTTCAAAACAAACTCAAAGCAAGTTCTGATCAACACAAATTTCGACCAATGACTCTCAAGAAACAACATAAGGCTCAAACCTCGCAAAGGGTAAATAATTGTTCAACAAAACGGCACATCGAGTTCATCAAGGCATACTAGTCATGGTCATCATCACATCTCCTCAACATCGTCAACAAACATCAACAAATCTTAAAATTCACCATAATCCATACTCGCAAAACACACAAACTGACTCACGAAAGACACTAGAATAAAAGCAGAAAATGAAATAACCTAAAAGAACTAGACCTGGTCAACCACATAAGGCACATAATCATGCAAAAACTCCCCCACACTTAAAACCGAACAATGTCCCCATTGTCGATAATCAGTGCAAGGAAAGTCTACCCATATAATCAACCAATCACAAAGACAGAAAAAACCAAAACAAAAACAAAAATAAGGAGAAGGGAAAAGATACAAGCGTACATGGCACAGTGACTAGACTAGTCACTGTGAGTCCGGTGGTGCGGGCGGAGGGTGGAGGTAGTCGGGCCCGAAACAGCAGCGGGCCTCTGTCAACTCGAATCTTTCGCCCCATTCGGATCGGGGCAGCTCTCTAGAACTCATCTCGGGAGGGGTAGTGTGGCTGTCGGTTTGGCGTCCCATCTCGATGTGGTCACGGTCCTGCAACAACCTCTTCGTGTATTCTTGCATACACGCTTCCTCAGTCAACTGCTCAATCGCCCTAAGGGACATGCATTCTTCCACAGATTTTGTTTGCGGATCAGGCTGGGTCTCTCGCACGGAAATTGAAATTGATTCTCCCAATACGGTCATGCACGCGGTTCCCTTCTTCACATCAATGACAGTGTCAGTGGTCGCCATAAAGGGTCGTCCGAGGAGGATGGCGTGTTCCTTACTGTTTTCTTGTGCGTTCCCCACATCAAGAACCACAAAGTCCACGGGGACTATCAGCTTCCCCACACAGACGAGCACATCCTCCACAATCCCTTCCGGATGACGGAACGAACGGTCTGCAAGCTGCAAGCGCATCCTGGTGGGCTTCAAATCTCCAAGCCCGAGCCGATTATAAACCGCGAGTGGCATAAGATTAATGCCTGCTCTGAGATCAAGCATTCCTGATGTCTCTTCCCCATTCCCGAAGGCCATAGTGATCACAAAGCCTTCGGGATCCTTTTCTTTCTTCGGCAAGTCATGTTGGAAGACACTCGCCGCCTCACAAATTATCACCTCATCATCATTGTCAAACCGCTTCTTGCTCGTGGCCACTTCCTTGAAGAATCGTGCATGGGCCGGTATTTTCTTCAACACCTCGGGAGGAGATAAGTCGACATTGGCCTTAGCCAACATCGCATGGAGGTCTCGAATCATCTTGCGATCTCTCTCCTCCAAAAGTCGGCTAGGGAATGGAATCTTTGGTCTGTATGGGTTCGGGGACTTGTGTAAGGTAGGCTCTGGTGATGGTGTCACTGGGGTTTCCTTCTCTTTAACAACTATCTTCTCCTCCTGATCGGGCATAAGCACTGTAACTGAATTTGCATGCTCAGGCTGACTTGGCAACTTTCCCTTGTCTAAGTCAGTCTCGATGGTCCCGACCCGTGTGGCCAACTGTCCCACTTGAGTCTCGAGGCGCTTAATGGAAGCCTCGTTGTTCATGGTTCGTTGCTTGTTGTCTGCTAAAAACTGGAGGATCTTATCCAGCTTCTCATCTGAGTTTGTCGGGCTCGGTCCGGCTTCTGGTGCTGGCAACCTTAACATTTGTCCCCTGTGTTGCTGCTGATGGGGGACGAAGTTAGGTTGAGGCGGCTGCTGGGAGTTGTTGTTGGACCAGGAGAAGCTTGGGTGGTTTCTCCACCCGGGATTATACGTATTCGAGTAGGGGTCGTTCCCGGGCCGGTTCTGATACCCCTGCAATGCATTAACCTCAGCACTCTGCCCTCCGTAGTTTGGCTCGAGAGCCATAGGGCACACCTCAGAACTGTGTCCCTGAACTCCACATGCTCCACAAGCATTTACTGCCATTGTCTGAATTGGTGAGGAACTTCGAGCACTTAGTAGCCGCATCTGCTCTGTGAGCTCGGCTAACTGCTGGGCCATAGCATTATTACTCGGGCCAACCTCATTCACTGTGGACCGCTTCCCTCTGATACTCTTCTGAGACGAGTTGGCACTCATCGTCTCGTAAATTGCAATCATTTCTTCAGCTGTTTTGCCCCCAATATCCCCTCCAGCTGCGTTTTCCACCATGTACTGCAAATTCTGGTGGAGGGAGTCGTAGAAGCAATTCGCTAACAGTCCTGGAGCGAGGTTGTGGTGGGGGCACTGCCTCTGTAAGTCCTTGAAACGTTCCCAAGCCTCGTGAAGAGGCTCGTTTGGCAGCTGAGCGAAGGAGACTATCTGAGACCGAATGTCTTGGGTCTTCTGATGGGAATAGTACTTCCCAACGAATTTAGAGTAAACTTCGGCCCAAGTTGTTAGAGAATCCGGAGCGAGGGTCATGAACCAAGCCTTGGCCCGGTCCTTCAGAGTTTCTGGAAAACACCGCATTTTGAGCTGGTCTTCGGTTAGCCCGTGTAGTGGGAACGTCTGGAGGACGTTGTAGAACTCCCGAAGAAAGTGAAGCGGGTCTTCGTTGGGGAGCCCGTGAAAGGATGGGAGCTGATTGTAGTGGACCATCTTCAGCTCATAGTTTCGGGCGTTTTGCTCCAGCCGGATACAGGAAGTGATCGGCCCGATCATGGGTTGGGACAAATCTCGGAGAATGCTACGAGGCGGTTGTTGATCAGCCATGTCTGAGTTACTCCCCTCGGATGACTTGGGGGAAAGATCCTTTTCTGTGTGTGATTCGAGGGTCAGCTCTTCTATCAGCTCTCTCAATCTCTCGTTAACCGACTTGTTGATTGGGGATAATATAAGTCCACTCCTGGTACGCATACACGCAAGCAACAAACAGGTTACGAGCACCAATAGTAAAGAAAATAAAATCAAATAAGAAAAAGAAACACCGAAAACAAGAAAAACACAAAACCAAAAAGAAACACGAAAAGTAAGGTGAATAAGCGCACAAAATATGTCCTAAACCCTCCCCGGCAACGGCGCCAATTTGTTGTAAATATTTTTCCGGAGTAGAATCAAGAGATTCGAACACCGGGTCGTGTCTCACGAGGAAGGTCAGCCGGAATATTATGCACGTTTATTCAAGCACACAAAAGAAAATGAAATTCCTAGACATTCTAAATCAAAGATTGGTTTTGGTTTAATTATCAACTACTGCGACAATTCAAATTAAGCAATAAAGAAAGCAAGTAACGAAGATCAATTAGGATTTGAGTAGCTAGGGAATCGGGGAGATCCGTTTTGGTTCGATATGCAATTAATAGGCAAGTGATTATTCAGCTAAGTGATTTGACTAATCGACACGTCCAAGCACCCATTCTCAATAACTTTTCGTAACAAGAGAACAAACTAGAACGGAAAATTAACAATTCATTTAGCTTCTAGGCAATACAGTTACGAACAAGCCTAGTTCATACGAGCCTATTTCGACCGACTCCTCCCCTTTCGGTTCTAAGAGTCGATTAAAGTAGACTAGAGGGTGGTTAACCGACTTATCAAATAGATTCCCAATTTCAAGCACGGATAAATCTAATTCAATCGAAACAATTGTAAGCTGAAGTGTCACCCTTCAGCAATTATCAATATTCAAGCTTGTCAATTGAAAAACCCTAATAAAAGATTAACTCGCACAAATTGAACAATCTTGAGCCCGACAATCACAAACGATTCCAAAACATCAATCCCCTATTCCTAGCATAAGGATTTAGCCACTCATATTTGAATTATCAACACAAACCACCATAATCAAAGTCAACATATTCATGGATGAGATGTATAGAAAAATTTACGAAATACTGTAATTGAATGTTGAATCTGATAAACAAGCTTAAATCCAAAGCAATAGCAAAATCCAAGATCAAATCCTTGTTCTACGTTGAAAACGATGGAAGAAAAGTGAAAAACGAGTGAAAAGAGAAGGGGGTAGGGTTTTCTGTGTTTTTTGGGTAGAGAGAGAATGAGAGATAGTCTTCTGTCGCGATCCCGATGCATATATATAGCCACACGGCATCACGGCGCGAGGTTGGTGCGGCGCGGCGCGGAGAGGTGCTGTGCCGCGGCGCGGGGACAGGCTGTGTGATGAAGATCGCGTGTCTTGACTTGGTCGATAAGCCGCTCGCGCGCCTTGAATCGCCGATAGATGCTAATACGCGCGCCGACGCCTTCGTACTTCGCGATAGGTGTGGAAGAAAATCGGATGTTGGTCCTATTTCTAACACGATCTAGTTTGTAAACTTGGCGCGGCGCGGGGCCTGGGCAGGACAGCTCGCACAACTTTGCTTCTCGGGTCCGTTTGAGCTCGTTTCAACTCGGAATTCGATTCCGCTTTTTCTTGTGTGTTCCCAACGAACTCCTCTATTTGATTATGCTTGACCAACTAGTATTTACTCAAACTCCTGTTCTCCCGAGACTTCCAACCTACGCACCAACGACGACGAAAGAAAACGAAAAACGAACGAAAAACACAAGAAAAACCAAGAAGAGAGCAAACACTAAATAAACAATAAAACAACCTAAAAACCAATTAAAACACCTAAAATGGGGGAAAAAGAAAGACAAAAAGATAACGAAAAACGCAACAAAAATGGGACAAACACCGGTTTTGAGGATTTTGGGACATTGTTTGCTAGGGCTGTTGAATGCTGATGAGGTGGAGGATGCAACATCCATGGCCATTCACCGCATGTATGCTCGAGCTTCAAATGATTTGGTTCCTCAAGCTATTTTGGCGACTAGGAGCTTCACACCTCCTCTCGAACCCAAACGTCGGCACACCCGCAGCTCCCGACGACTTGCACGGTGGCAGATGCGGCCCATACGACGGTAGAAGATGGAAGAGAGAAAGCAACCTCACCATTTTCAATATTTTTCTAGTTTATTTTATTTTACTTTATTTTTTTCGAGCAAAATCTGTGAATTTTGAAGTAGGAGAAAAAATGTTATGTTGAGTTTTGGAGGGTTTTATGTCAAATGAAATAGTAACAGTAATATTGTGTTAATATTTTACTCGTATAAATACAAGATGCAAAATTAAAAATTTTGTTGGCCTTTGTTTGTATAGATTTATATTTAGTTTATTTTCAGTTTATTTTGGGTTTATAAACAAGATTTTCTACTACTATAAAATTACATCTAAATTTATAATTTATTTTTAGTTTATTATAAGTTTATCTTGGGTATATAAACAAGATTTTCTACTATAAATTTATATCTAATTTATTTTTAGTTTATTATAAGTTTATCTTGGGTATATAATTACTATAAATTTATATCTAATTTGTTTTTAGTTTATTATAAGTTTATCTTGGGTATATAAACAAGATTTTATACTATAAAGTTATATCTAATTTATTTTTAGTTTATTATAAGTTTATCTTGAGTATATAATTACTATAAATTTATATCTAATTTATTTTTAGTTTATTATAAGTTTATCTTGGGTATATAAACCAAATTTTCTACTATAAATCTATATCTAATTTATTTTTAGTTTATTATAAATTTATAAACCATAACAAGAATACAAGAAAATTTGAATTGATATATAGTTTATTTTCAGTTTATTATACAAGAAAAATTTATATATAGTATAATTTTAGTTTATTATAGTTATAAAATTAATACTCTATATACACAAAAACGAATCATTCACTCACAAAAGTAATGAACAACTAAAATATAAAATGCAACATAGCTACAAATAAAATGAAACAAAAACCGTCAATAAAAATAACCATAAGAAATATTCAAAACAAAATTTACATGAATTAACCAACCAAAAAATAACTGCTCTTTTGTCCAGTTGTAACATCAATTAAACACATAATTCTTCCACAAAATAATTATATCAAACATTTGAAAAATATTTCTCCAAAAGGCTGAATCTACACAAACCATCTGTAAATAAAAACTACAATAAACCGAAAAAAAAGGTCACGTCCGAAATCGATATTGATTTTCTTTCCAATCAGTCTCGAAATCAATAGGCCTATCCCAATGTCCCAATGCGTCTATGCAGAAGCTGTCAATCTTCAAGTAGAAATCCTCAATGCCTTAACCAAAAACACAAATTCACAAATAAGTAGAACATAAAATGTATAAAACCAGCAATTTCAATTGCTTTTAAGTGTCTAAGGAGAAAAACAGAGGTCAAACCCAAGGATTATTGCAAAATTTAAAGAGCACTTCACAGTTAACTTCTTATTTCAACTACATCATTTCTAAACTAATCACAAATGTAGCTGATGAATTTTACACAAAGGTAACCTGTGCCAATTGTCCCCAACCAATCCTAGGAACTCGAGTGCTTGTGCTATATAACAATTAACAATTACAAACCCCATAGTTGACAGTTTTTATCAGTTGCAACCAAAAGATAACTCATAACACATTAGAACCAAGATCACAAGAATTAACATTTCAAATATGCCAATTTCACACTCATTTAAGAAACTACATCAGCACTCAAAAGGGGGTTTCAGAAATTACGCTTCCATAACCCAGAACACTAAGTTGCATGAAACGAAAGAAAGCATTAACACATTCATAAAAATCTTCTAAACAAACAAGCATTGAGAACACCACATACAACCAGCTAAAGATAAATCAAACCATAAGCACCAGTTCTTCACAAGTCCCTCAAACAGTAACAAATCAAACGGTGAAAAAAAATTTAACTATACAATCAAAAGAGAATTTAATTTGATAAACCTGTATGTGATGATGGATCAAATGCCACAAAGGTAATCAAGCAGAATTGTGGAAATATAAATTAAATCAATCATCAAAGAATTTATCATGGATCATACTGTAATAGAACCACACGAACATATTATTCATTTCATATTTCACACAACTCTGTTGAGTTTTNTTGTTAAGCTAAAGATGCACGAAAATCATATAAATAAACCTACCAAAATCGCAGAATCAGCAACAATGCCAGTCCGAGAGCCATGTACCACCATAATGTCCGGCCTTGCCGCTCAACCTCTCGTCGAAACCCTCGGCTCGATGCCCCTCTAAGGAGAACCCATCGATGTCCGTTCAGCCCTACTCGTAATCCAACCGTCGAACCCTCGTTCAGCCACCCATGGGCCATCGAATCAATTCGCCGCCGTCGATTAAGGGAAGGGGTATGAAAGCCGAAAGAGACAAATTATGGAGAAAGAAAAAGAAAAGGGGGAACAGGAGTGATGCGGCGGATGAGATCAGGATGACACGTAACATTTAAATGTTTACAATTTCGTAATTGTGAATCCGTGAATATTGAAATGGAATGAAGTTTTTAATCTTGTCATTTGGAAAATAAATAGGAACGGAATTGTGTAGAGGGTAATTCTTTCTATATATAATGTAGATATAAATTTGGGGCCCCAAATATTTGGAGGCCCATGGCCAATGCCCACTTTGACATTAGTCAGGGCCGGCCCTGGTTGTGATTTGTGAAGGGGTATGCATAACTTTAGTTTGAAAATATTATGAAACTAATAATCCTAAATGAAATTAAATACAAGCAACAAGTTCAATTGAAAAATCAAATTCTTGTCATAAATCAGTACAAAAAAAAAAACAAAAAAATCCTTAATTGTTGCTTCTCTCTTATCAATATGGTTCAAATGAATTTTGATTTTTTTGTTTTGCTTGTATATTGAGTTGCTGACAAAATTCAATTATAATCAAGGTTTGGCAGCTCTAATGACACTAAGTTACCTAAAGTATCTATAAACATAGACAGGGATTTGGTCAAATTGATTAAATAAAATAATAATAAAATCTTAATTATTAAACAAACAAGCAACCAAATTGAGCTTTGTCAACATGTTGCAGATATTCTTTGAATTTNAGGTCCCTTGGTTGTTGAACAACAACCCTTGGCTTGGACCCTATTCATATAAAAAAATGAGAGGTTGCTAAAGGAACGAAGCATGTTGCCCCTTTAGGTTCACATCAGGCAGGACGAGCCAACTAAAAGTCCGGGCGGATTCTCTTTACAACGAAGGATCATTTTCATCCCTTCCGCGTAGAATCCCTTTTTCTGCTCCCAGCGAATCGGATATGATTGCCCAACCTAAAGGTTCATAAAGCCATTTCATCATTGAGGAGTTTAACAAGTGAACAACAATACAGTTCAACCTAAAATCGTACTACACTATAGAAAAATAAAATCAAATTAAATAAAAAATTGTGATACTAAAATAATCGAATCCAATTGCACTGAAATGCACAGCTCCATTCAATTTTTATTTTGTCCCAGTCTTTTTAACATTTGTATTTAATTTAGTGTTATTCGATGCAAAACCTAATCAAACAAACAAAAAAAAAGTCTTAACTTGTGAAAAAGAATAATAAAATCGGTGTAAAAAAAAAAGGAACATGAAATTTGCCACACTAAACCCATTTTTTTGGTTGTTAAAAGCGTGATTAGTGATAAATGGAATCTGAAACATATCACCTGAAAACACACACACAAAAAATCACACATTTTCTCTCTCATCGCTGTATTTTTGTGCGTCTTGTGAGTTGTGAGCTCCATTTTTTACCAACAAAAGGTTCCATTTTCCATATTGAAAACACAGGAAAAAGAGAAAACGTCTGTGTGTGTGTGTGAGAGAGAGAGAGAGAGAGTCTATTTACAGGGAAAGAGATATTTCACTAGAACCTGTTCTTCGCTCGTCTCTCTACTCAAATTCGGCCTCGAATTTGATCCAAATGAACGACCTTTTGACGGTGAGTGGTTTAATTTTCACTTTCGTTTCTCATTTTGATGCGTGATTGCTGTTGATCTGCTGCGAAATTGATGCAAATTTAATAAATATCGCGACGGAAGGGATTTGAAAATGGCGGATGTGAATGCAGCTGCTTTTAGGAGCTGGGGACAAGCGAAAGATCTTGTCTTGGCCCGTTTAATTCGAGTTTAGTTGTCTTTTTTCTGAAGAAATGTTAGAGGAAAATTGTTGAGATTGCTCAAGACATAAATTTTGGGATGAAAAAGCTGTCATTGTTGTTTTGCTAATAATTTTAAGACTTTAGAGTTGGTCTGTGGATCTTCGTGATTATGAATCTATGGATAACAAAGCCAGCAAAGGGATTCTCGAATCTTGAGACGTCATCTATGTTTTTTCATGTTCTTTTCGATACATGTGCTTTTGGGGGTTCGGTTTTCTCCTCAAAGTTGGAATTTTGATCACTTAATACTATGAAATTCACGAGTCGAGATTTTGAATTTGGATACTTAATGGGCTCTGTTTCCAGCATTTGGCATAATGATATTGATTCGACAGAATACTTGTGATGGCATTTAACTCTACTTTTAGATGTTTCCGTGTAAGTCTATCTGACCAGGCTCCAAAGGGGAAGAAAAAAGTTTATTGTCAGTTATGCAAACTACTCAATATGTTGAACTTGCTGGAATAAAGTCCAACCTTTGGGGACTCGTAGAGTCAAAGTTGTTATTGATTAGAACCGCGTGTTTTTTAAATCTATATTCCTTGGTAGAGAAATATGCATTTGATGCTCTGAGGTCATGCCCGTCTTCAGCACCAAGATTAAAACTTAATCAACGGGCATCTAAAACATCGCATGGTCAATGGATTTGCCATTTTAAATTTGCATATCTGCTTGCAGAATCTGAGTGGTTGGATGATAAAATTGGTTGGAAGAGGACATGGTGCAACTTGTTTCCTTCTTCATTTAATTTGTGATAGCAGTAAAGGAAAAAGGGGAAAAAAAAAAGAAAGAAAAATCGCTAAGCTCTTCATGTTATAAATTTGAAATGTTTATGAGCCCTAAACACCAAGGGGTGAATCAAATCCTGTTATCTTTTAACCATTGATAACATCTTTTGTTTTCGTGTATCTGAACGTGCTTCCCACATGTTGTAAATGGGTTTCCATGAAATCTATTCTCGTAATGGTCAGTCTCTAGTCTTTTTGGTTGGTTGCCCTTTGTACTGCTCGTGTAAACCTATTGTTTCAATAAAATGTATCCCCTGGACATGATTAGCTTGTGCATGCAGCATCTTCTATGAAAAAGTTTTGTCATCTTTGCTCTGGCATCTTTAATTGAGGCAATCACTTTATCTTGAGTTAGCATTTGTTTACAGTTTTTGTTTATGCTATATGCTACAGTTTTTGTTTATGCTACAGTTTTATCTTGAGTAGAAAATGCTTAACTGTTTTGTTTGTTGACATCTTGTGCAATGTTCAGGATTCCTTTGCGATACCACGTGATGATGGTAATAGAAATGGTGATATTGAAATGGGAATGGACAGACAAACGAATTCGGAAGATCTAGGCATGGATAATTTCTTTAAACAGGTGTCTAGCATAGCTTGCTCCCATATACCTTGAATAGTGTTTATCACGTAGGACTTTTATTTTTTTTTTCTGTGGCCAAAAGAAGCTGAGTAATGCCCGACTTGCCTTCTGTTTTCTAGGTTCAGGAGATTGAGAAACAATATGAAAAACTCAATATCCTGCTGAGAAAGCTTCAGGTTTTTTATTTCATCTGTTCTCTTTTCATTTCTTTTGTCCTTTCGCATTTTTATGCCTGTAGATCAAGAGTAGACAGGAATTCATCATTCAGTACTCTGTTTCTCTTTGTATGAGACTATGAGTTCAATGGAACTGAATTAACGGATTAAGTCCTTCTGGAGAAGTATCAATTTGGCATTTGAGCCTATGGAATTGTATCTTCCTTAAACTGTACTATGGGTTCTATATGTTGAATGTTTTTGTTCTTTGTAACTTTTATATATAATTCAATCTTTATGTATTTTAATCCGCCACTTCAATATTAAGTATACATATGGCATCATACAAATTTCAATTTTCTGTTAATTAAATGTAAGTCCCTGGTCAGATACTCAAGCGTCATGTATTTCATCAAAACTATTCTTGTCAGCTGCTCTTCCTCGGCTAATATTTTTTGAATCAACATGATTTCGCTAGATTCTATTTGGTCCTCTGGTTTTTCATTGTTCATGGAGATAAGCCATGCCAGTTTAACAGAATCCAGTTCTATTTTTTCATGTTGTGTGAATGTAGCTATATGGACTTAGTGTGTAGTATTTTATTCAATAACCTTTATAATCTACTGCTGGTGTGGACTTCCTACTGGTCTGCTCAAGCAATAGCTTTACTGTCTATTTGGAAAATTTATCTAGAATGTTTATCATCCTTCAACTTCAGGATGCTCACGAGGAATCAAAGGCTGTGACGAAGGCTGCTAATATGAAAGGTAGATTTTACCGCCATTTATTGGTGTTAGTCCATTGGGAAGAAACTCTGTCCTTGAGACATTCGTAGACTTGCTCAAACTTTTCACATTAGATTTCACATCTTTCTTCAATTATACATTCTCCTAATTTGTTTTTCTTCTTAATCCATATTGTTTTATAGATTTTTTGTTATCTTAATTTTTTCACTATTAATTTTGTAACTCGGTAGCAATAAAGAAACGGATGGAGAAGGATGTTGACGAAGTCGGAAAAATTGCCCGTTCTATTAAATCAAAAATTGAGGAACTCGACAAAGAGGTGCATAAATATGTAGATTTTCTCAGTTGCAGTTGGGCTACTCAGTTTTCTGCTCTTATTGATGTTTGTCTTACTCGATTCTAGAATTTAGCCAATAGACAAAAGGCAGGGTGCGGAAAAGGATCAGGCGTAGACAGATCAAGAACAGCAACAACAGTGTAATTTATTGTCCCTTCTTTTATAACAGTAACATTGATTTTATAATTAGTTGATGTGTTATTCTAGTTGACCTGTCATGTATTTTAACCTTTATCATGTAACTCGTGCTCCTATTCCAAGTTCACTTGCACCTATTCCATTTTTAGGGATGTTCTACAATATTGCCCTGTTCAGGACGCGACTTTAACCATTGCTTTTGCTTTCTAATAATTTAGTTAGTTAGCCATCAAGAGTTTGTTCCAAAAAAAAATGACAACCTTGATGAAATTTGCATCAATGAATTCCTTGACATGATAAATTACTAGCTTAATCTTGTAATCCCTTCTGAATGCCATTGATTTTGTGTGATAAAAAAGAACAGGATATCAAGTTTTAATTTGTTGTGTTCGACTGCAGGGCTCTGAAAAAGAAGTTCAAAGATCGAATGTCTGATTTTCAGGTAAATTAGCCTCATATTATATAAGCTGGGTTTAAACTCACTTAGTTACTTCCAAATCCCAATTTCATTGTTATGGATGTTTTGCAGACTTTGAGAGAGAATATACACCAAGAGTATCGTGAAGTTGTAGAGAGACGTGTATTCACAGGTGACAAAGCTGTATTTGAGAAACAGATCGTTCGTCACTTATTGCAGCATTGCAGCAGCTTTATCTACACTGTTATGTTTGAACAATTTTGACGTTAATTCTGTTTCATTGTGGTTTTTTCAGTGACGGGCACTCGAGCTGATGAAGAGGTGAAGACATTTTCCTTTTTTTTTTTTTTTTTCCTTCTATACAATCAATTAATCATGCTATTTTGTGTGCTGTTCATTTACTTAAAAACCATTTGCACCCAGACAATTGATAAATTAATAGAGACTGGTGATAGCGAACAAATATTTCAAAAAGCTATCAGAGAACAAGGCCGAGGCCAGGTAATTTTCCTATGTTTTCGTTTGGTTGGCGCGTAAAAGCCAAATCCAGCAAATTTATTTTGTTCATGAAATTTTGTTTACAGGTAATGGACACCCTGGCAGAAATTCAAGAACGACACGACGCCGTTCGAGATTTGGAGAAGAAGCTTCTAGATTTGCAACAGGTATTTTTTTTTTTTCTTTTTCTTAGCTGATGATTTGAGTGTAATTATCGAATGTTGGCTTTATTTATTTTCGAACGTTGTTAAATTCTGAAAACAAATTTGATCATATATATTATTTTTTTCTTGGCAGATATTCCTTGACATGGCTGTACTGGTGGATGCACAAGGAGACATGCTCGATAACATCGAGTCACAGGTTACAACTTTTCATCTCACAACCTATTTTAGGAACACCATCTCGACCGTTAATTTATATTTTTACTTTTGCAGGTTTCGTCTGCAGTGGACCATGTGCAGTCGGGTAACACTGCTCTTCAAAAGGCAAAAAGTCTGCAGAAAAACTCGAGAAAATGGATGTGTATAGCAATCATCATCCTTCTCATTATAGTGGCAATTGTTGTGGTTGGTGTGCTCAAGCCATGGCAGAACAAGAACGGGGCTTAGCTTTCTACACGAGCGTGTAATGTATAAAAATTTAAAAAAAAAGAACTATAGAGCAAAAGGAATCGTTTCATATAATCGACTATATACGAGGACTGGTCTTCTTTTTTATTTGTTCGTTCGGGATTTGGGTTTGTATCTCCTGTGTGTGTGCATTCTTTGACTTTGGTATTAACGGGCGGGTGCGTGTGGAATTTGCTTGTTTGCTTCGGATGTTCGAGCTTTCGGCTGAATGCTCGTGAGACTCGTCTCGCTTTGTGTGTAAAGTTTTGGTGCTACATGATTTATGAAGGAATTTATGAAGAATTTATCACATTTGTTTTCTTGGCAACCAATCAATATATATGTAGCTCTAGTTTTGAGGGATTTTTTGTTCTTCCATTTTTGCTTGTTTTTAATTAGGAAATATAATAAGCGAAGAAAAATGTTCAAATAAGTTTGGGATAAGTTTTCCATCTTTTGAAACTTAATTAGGTATTTTCGTTACAAGCCAAATTCACTTTAGCAATGTCTTTTTAAATTAAAGAAATCAAATAATGCCATACTTGGTACTTTTATTATTTTGTTACTTGTTAGAGATGATCTGGAACGGTTCGGTTAGGAGATGTTAAAAAATTCTAAAAATGAACTAAAAATTGGAGATAATCAAAATCTAATTTTTGAAACCGTGCATAAAATTGGGATGTTTCGGTTTTACAAAGACATTTCGTTGGATTCAGTTTTGAGATCAAGGTAGACAGGTGCATCAGAATCATAACGGTTATAATTGTAGATAAATAATTTAATGCAAAAATATTCTTGTTGCAACATTTTCTCAACGAATATCGAAAAAGAGCACATATATTTTGCATGAATTAAGTAATTATTTTTTAGTTAGTTTATTATATAATAGCTACTACTAAGGGAGTGATTGGCTACCAATTATATTCGATTTTGACTGATCGTATAATCTTTTTACACTACATAACTCTAAATTCAATGCAAATTTAATCAAATCCAACTATATTCAGTATTATTAATATAATTAAATAACATCAATCAGTCATTGCATCACATCAACTTTAATTTACTGTTTATACACTTACATATTTTTAACTATCTAGTAGTGTCAATAATTTATCTCATACTTTTATATCACATATTTTTAAATAATATTTAAACACAACAACTTTAATTCACTTTAATCAATAAATTTAATCAAAATCAATTTTATTTATATTCAGTCGAGCTCTAGCTAATCATAAAGTTATACAGAATAATGAAAATTATATACAAATCAAAAACTCCTTTGTAACTTTTTTTTTAAAACTATTTATTTTAAAACATTATTATTTTTGTTTTAAAGAGCCTTGCCGATTGCCCGTCCTTTTCAACTGATTTCTGCGGGGCAAGCTAAACGAATAAAAGTAGCAAAATCCAGATCCTCGAAGATCGGTTGACCATGTCTCCCATAGGGCCCTCTTCCCTGCTCCTTCTACCACTTGAGCAATCCTTCCATAGACCGTAGACCGGAGACAGACGGGTTTTAGTCATCACTGAAAGACTCACGATGATTCCATTTGCTTTTCTCTAACTAGCCTACTTCCTAGCGTGTTGCCTGATTAGCAGAATCTGGGGTTGATTAGGCCTCTTTTACATCTACACCCAGTTTATCCATTTTTTTGGAAATGATAAAAAAAAAGTCTATTAAGCAATTTCTTATTATTTTGCTATAGTAATAATATTATTATTTTTTATTTAATTAATTAGTCATGGTCACTAAAGAATTGCAGAAATTACATTATTGTTATCAGTTTAATAATTTATATATAAATTAAATGATTTATATTTATATCATTTATTTTTACTAATAATAAAATTTATAAAATGTGATGTGCTCATTATATAACTTATGATTTTAAATATTATACAGCATACATCATACGTATGTGCATGATTGAGTACTAGTTAAATTAGAATAATAAAGTAAATTTATTGGGTTGAATCATTTATTTTTAAATCAATATATCAGCATTCTTTGTTTTTTGAACTTTCAACTTTTATGAATATTAGTTTTACCCCGTGTATTTGCACGAAAAGCGATATAATAGAAGAGAAATTAATTAAGAATATAGATTAAAATAAAAATCATAATAACTTAATAAATTAGAAAAAAAAATAATTTAAAAAAGTGAATCTAAATACTATTAAACACTTCTTTATATATAAACTCATTCGACTCGTGACTCTGGGATTTGATTTTTCAAAATATTTGATGTATTTTTTTTAATATTCAATAAAATATTTTTTTATTGTTGTATAACTGCAATAGAAAATAGAGATATTTGTAGTCATTCTAAATTACTTGTGAAATATATATTTATATAATACCAAAAAATATATAGTATCAAAATAAAAATAAAAATATTTTGTATTTCAGGACATAAAAAAGGCGTTACAAAAATGGGCACATTCCAAAATGGGACCTGTCAAAATAAATTGTGTAACTGAAAGTTACGTATCTATATATATATAATTGTTAGCTAAGCAATAAATTTTACCTAATAAATAAAACCTAATAAATTTTACCTATGTGACAAATCATTAATAAAACCTAATAAATAGAACCTAATAAATTTTATTTATGTGGCATTAATACACCCAATCTCATTAATAAGAAAATATTTCATTACATTTTTTTTGAGTTAATTAAGACAAAAACCATTATATTTTATGTTAATTGATTAATAATTATATTTTTTATTGAATAATATAATAGTTAATATTAAAATTAGTAATTATATTTTATACTAAATAATATATGAAAGTTACACAAAATTATATTTTATACTAAAATCAATATTTTTTTATATGATGAAGCGGTTGTTTATTAATAAATTAATTTTTTTTATGTCATAGTAAAATTTCTTAAAATCACATAAGCAATTGTTATAATAAATGTAATATTTTTCAGCTAATTAATTGATCATGATCACTCAAAATTATAAAAAGTATAAATTTATTACATTTTATGCAATCAATATAGTGATTCATATACAATCAAATCGGTGTACTATTTATTTTAACCAATGATCAAATTTTAAAATATAATACTATTATGTAATTTATAATTTTAATATAATATATATAAATATAACTTATAATACTATATGTTTGAAATATAATACAATTATATAACTTATAATTTTTATATTATATACATAAATATAACTTATAATATTTAACTTTATTTACATATGTGCAAATGCACAGAATCGAATACTAGTTTTTATTAAATGGTGAACATATTTTATTAAATGAATACCTATTTTTATTAAATGAACTCACATTATTATTAAATGATGGCTAAATAAAATATATTGAAGTTTGCTACCAATTATATATATATAGATTAGATCTTAAAAGAAAGTCAATCATGTCAATTTTCTGTTTTTAACATTTTTTCTTATTCGGACATTACCCGAATTTCCCGTCAAACCTATTCCCCTCCGATTCCGCCTGAGCGGCAGAGAAAAAATGGCGTCCTCTGTAAGAAACCTCCGTCAAGAGCCTGAACTTCCGTCGACCAACGCCGGAGAAAGCTACGACGACGACGACGATCTTCCAGTGCTGAGCTCTCATGCTCTGGAGGCGCTCAAGGAGTTCATCGCCGAGCAGAGCCGGGATCTCGCCGCCGCGGACGATGCGGAGGATGTGGCGCTGGTGGCGGAGGACTGGCGGCTCAGCCAGTTCTGGTACGACCGCCGCACGGCGGAGACTGTTGCCGCCGAAGTTGCCGCCCTCTGCGAGACACTCTCTTCGCCACGCGTCTCGTGCATTGCCTGTCCCACGCTGTACGCGTATTTCAAGGTATTTTCTTACCTTTCACTGCATTTTCGTGTGCTGGGCAGTAACATTTTTGTTGTGGGTTTCTCTGAAATTCTGAGGTATATTTGGGAGTTGGCTAGGTACTACTAAAGTTCCACAGTGTACAACAGCATTTCATGGATAAATTCGAGGGCTTTTTACAGTTGTTGTGTGTGATTGTGTGTGCGTATGTCAGATCCAAAAGTAGTAAATCCTGTGAGGGCACATCAAATTTTCCCTTTTTATGATAATTGGTTCTTGAAATGCTGGTGAAGAACAAGTTTTGTTGTGGGGTTCTCTCAAAGTCTGAGGTATTGGGATTTAGCTAGGTACTACTAAAGTTCCACAGCGTACAACAACAATTGGATCAACACACATCCATGTATGTTTGTGTTAGTGTTTGTGAGCCAATGGGTCGACTTTGCCCCATTTCATGATGATTGGTTTTTCTTGAAATGAAGGTATAAATAGCTCGATTTGCAGGAATCAATTTCATTTAATTTCTTGATTCTTAAAACTGTAATTTGCTAAAAACTGGGATTGATTGCCCGAAAGTAAAATGACTACACAGTGATGCAGCATATATGCAGCATATATGCAGGAGTTATTAGGATTTGTTTTTTCTAACCTGTACCTCAACAGTTATTTGGATTATTCTTACCTTTTCTTTTATGTCTTAAAATTTCAGAAAATTGCTCCAGGAGTGCCAGCTCAGCTTCTTGAGTATGATAAAAGGTTTGAGCAATACGGTACTGAGTTCACTTTCTATGATTATAACCGACCTGAGGATCTTCCATCACCATTGAAGCACTCGTTTCCAATAATAGTTGCAGATCCTCCTTACCTGGTAAAATTTTCATTTTTAAAACAAAAATAATTAGGATTTTATAACTTGTACAATGATGCCTAGTTTTTCAGAGAAGAAGTTCATTTCACCAATTATTGGTGGAAATTCATAATGCAGTTGCGATTTGACTTGATTGTGACGTGACGTAGATTAGTTTGTGTAGTTAGATTTCATGAAAAACGTATGTGAAGTAAAGTAACAGATAAAAGAGAATATGATCATGTGAGACCTTCTTACGTAGACCTAATTGTTGAAAACGTCCAGTCTAATTAATTGGTTTGTATTTCTTCCTTTATTAAGTGTTGTTTTTTTCCTCGCTTTGAACTACAATTAGACCTTGGATAAATCTATTATTCCAGCTGCAGTGTATTTGGAATCAGTTATCGGCTTTAATGGGTGACAATTTGAATTTCGACTTGTTTTTTGTTGTCAGAGCCAGGAGTGCTTGGAAAAGACAGCCGAAACAATTAGATTTCTGTCGAGTCCCGGAGAATCTTACATACTATTACTTACAGGTAAACTTCAATACCTGCTCCCTTTATTGTTGTCTTATTGAATAAGGATGAGCCGTAGTTCTACATTAGTATTTTAAGAGCTCAAACTTGAGTTTCTTTTTTTTTTTTTTGTCCTCTCTCTTTCTTTCTTTTGTGAAGACAGGCTTTCGGTAATAATCTATGTAATGAAAATCACAACACTCGCGTTCTCGGATTATAATTAAAACTTTTAACTTTGGTAAACTGTAGGTGAGGTGCAAAAGGATTTGGCTGCAGAGGTTTTAGGCTTGCGGCCGTGTGGTTTTCGGCCTCAGCATTCGAGCAAACTTGGCAACGAGTTTCGGCTTTTCACCAGTTATAATCCCGGGTCAAGGCTCGGTGGGTGGGAAAACGAATTATCGTCATCTTAAAATTTATGTACTTTGCCTGAATTTTCCGAGAATTCGATCAAACTAATGACTTGCTAAGTATATTTCTGCTTTACAGAACAAATTGTAGCACTAGCCTCCATTTAGTTTTTGGAGATACTAGAAGTTTTCTGTAGTCCTTTTGTATTAATTTCTTGACACAATTTGGAGATGTTTGTTTGCTTTGTGTGCCATTGAAAAGCTGTGAGGAATTTAGAAATTTACAGATTCATCTGTGGTTTTATGTATTTGATTGAACGTGGTTTTATTTGTGGAGTTTAGTTAGTCCAATTGTATATTTTAATTGTTAGTGAGTTTGAATGTTAATCAAACTCAGGTGATGTGATAAAATAATAGTTACAATTAAATACATTTTATTGTTCAGAAAAAAAAAATACGAAATATATTTAATAATATTACCGAATCGTTTTTATTAATATATAGGTGATAAAGGTTTACTACAAGTCGTACTATATTTGAAATTAAATTTGTTGGCTAATAAATAAGGGTGTTTCCATTCGTACTTCAAATGGAACCTTATTGAGTTTGGTTGATTGTTGCTCATCGAACTTCTCACAAGAACAATTCTCAGGAAAAGAATGTCTAACAGCGCAACCGATAAACTACAGAGGAAGTTAAACAAGTCGCCTTAAAGCTGTATATGAACAACCAAAAACAACAATGCAAGCATGTATTTGCAACTCCTTTAAGTAACCCATCAGTTATTTCCTTTGGATGACTTGTAAAAAAAACTCTATTTCTATTAAAACAGAAATTAGACAGGTTTCATTGCTGATTCTAAAATGAACAAGTATTGATATTTTAACAACCAATATTAATTTTTCTTACTAATAAAAACAAATTAAAGTTAAGAGAGAGTTACAACCATAGCCTACAATTTTGGTGACTAAGGCAGCCTTCCATAGGTTTGTAAATGATGAGGTGGCGGCACAGCCCCCGTCTCACGGTAAATCAGCCGTTGAGAAAAATAATTTCCGGTCAAGGGGCCAAGAACCGGAGCTCGATGACTAGGATATGGCCAAGGATTATTCTGAACCACAGCAGGAAATTGGGAGGGCAAAACTGGAATGTTATAATTTGGATTAACTCGAGATACGGTCTGAGGAAACACTGCCTCAGTTTGCACATCCGCATGTGTTCGGAAAATTCGACTCTGTGTCTGAGGCTGAGGAGGAAGTACCATTATCCGACCTCGGCTGAAGGGCATTTCAGTAATTTGAGGTCTGCTTGGAAAGTTCCAATACTGATTTTGCGGATACCGGAAGTTGGGTACTCGAGTACCCAACTGATGAGTCATATGATACTGATGAGGAGGTAACGGGCCTGGTCCTGGGCCCGGGCCCACCTGGTAGGTATTATTAGGGTTGGCTCTTGTTGTTGGAGGTTGCCAGATGTCCGGGCCTGGGCCCGGGCCCACCTGGTGGGTATTATTTGGGTTGGCTCTTGCGGTTGGAGGTTGCCAGACGTTAGATTCGGGCTGTTCGTGAGATGGGCCGACTAATTGCGGGGGCCTTCGTGCATTGGGCTGTTGCTGGTTTTGATTTGTGTTGAGTGTTGGGTTCGGGTTTTTTTTCTTCATCGATCGACGGGCTCTTTGGGCCCTCCACTTTTCTGCTCGGGCCGCTGGTCTCTCGGCTGCAGTCTTCGGTACATTTGGTTGCAACTGTGGAGACAAAAATTACATTTTTAGTCCCTGTTGGTTTAGGGTCATAGCAATTTCAGTTCCAACTTTTCGCCATTAGGTACTGGAATTTAACATTTTGCTGAAACTTCACGAGAATTGCAAAAAAAATTTAAATTACAAGAATCGACTTAAATTGATAATAAAAAATTCATCCCAGAGTTATAAATTTGGGAATTTGTTACGAAGGCTAAAATTGCAGCAAAAATATTACATCACAGGACCAAGACCAAAAGACGAAATGTTAGAATCTTGGGACTAAAATTTGTTATGGCGTTTAGCCTATTAGTTAATACAAGATGAATGTGGGTCGTTTACTCCTTTACTGTCGACGTTAAGTTTAAGACTAATAACAAAAAAAAAACAAAAAACAATCCCTTGAGTTACTTGATTCGGAAATCGCAATTTCTTATATAGGGCGACCAATTAGGCTAATTGACCCGTCATACTATGGTGAATCATAAATTTAAGAACAAGTCACAAAACTGCCACTGAGGATAAAGCCTGCGAACAAATCTAGTCATCTTCCCAAATCAAAAATTCTCCTTTAAAGGTAAAAAGGGTAACTTCATGAGCTATGATGTTTCCTTAAAGATCTCCTTTAACAGATGCAAATTAATGTACAATGGAGATTTGTAATTACAAAAGATTACAGGCATCTTTGCAAAGACGGTAAGTGGTTAAATGGTTTATTTTTTAAATGGTCTCTCTTATATATATATAGAGAGAGAGAGAGAGAGAGAGAGAGAGATCTAAACGAAGTCCAGTGGCATCTAAAATGTCGATAACTAACCTTTTGGGGGCATTTTCGTCTGTAATGACCACTCAATTTGCATCTCTTGCAAAAGGCTTGAGGATCAAAGGCGGCAACATCATTTAGTTTCATCTTCATGCAATCCTACACAAAGGCATAAAGAGTAGAATTTGTGCCCCAAAAATTTACAACGAGCAATCGGATTACAAAAGTTGAAGGGGTCACTAACCGAACCAAAGTGGCCCAACCGTCCACATTTGCAACACGAAGCTCCTGTTGACCCATCAGATTTATCGTCCACACAGCACAAATGACCAGACTTTCCGCAAATGTAACAATTCATAGCCTGCCCAATAAAACAACAACTGATGAATTTAAGAATGGAACAGTAATTTACGAGCATTTTTTAGTTCAACCTCATGAGATAAATACTTCTTTGTTCCTTGAGAAGCCGAAATAAGATACTGTGTGTGGGGAAAAAAGAATATTCCTTTACTTAATCGATTTCCGTAGCTAAAAGTGGTCCTTACAACGTGGGTATTATTAGGGTTGGCTCTTGTGGTTGGAGGTGGCCAGATGTCCGGGCCCGGGCCCGGGCCCACCTGGTGGGTATTATTAGGGTTGGCTCCTGTGGTTGGAGGTGGCCAGATGTCCGGGCCCGATACCGGGCCCACCTGGTGGGTATTATTAGGGTTGGCTCTTGCAATTGGAGGTGGGCAGACGTTTGATTCGGGCTGTTCGTGAGATGGGCCGACTAAATGCGGTGGCCTTCGTGCATTGGGCTGCTGCTGGTTTTGATTTGTGTTGAGTATTGGGTTCGGGTTTTTTTTCTTCATCGATCGACGGGCTCTTTGGGCCCTCCTCTTTTCTGCTCTCTCGGCTGCAGTCTTTGGTGCGTTTGGTTGCATCTGTGGAGAATTCATATAGGTATTAGTTAGGAAGAAAATGCATTTTTAGTCATGTTGGTTTAACGCTATAACAATTTTAGTCTCAAGGTTCCAACTTTTCGTCTTTTGATCCTCTAATTTAATATTTTGCTGCAATTTCACTTGCTAATAAAAAATTCATCCCAAAGATATAAGTCTGGGAATTTGGTGCAATTTCATCTGAAATTGCAGCAAAATATTAAATCACAGCACCAAAAGGCGAAATGCTAGAATCTTGGGACTAAAATTGCTATGGCGTTAAACCAACAGGGACTAAAAATGCATGTTAGCCTATTAGATAAAAATGCATGTTAGCCTATTAGTTGAGACAAGTTGAATGGGGGTCATTTACTCGTTTATTGTCGACGTTAAGTTTAGGATTAATTACAAAAAAAATCCATGTGATCCAGACCCTTGAGTTACTCGATTCAGAAATCACAAATTCTTATATGGGGCGACTCATTAAGCTGCTCGAACCGTCATACTATAGTGAATCAGAAATTTAAGAACAAGTCACAAAACTGCTACCGAGGATATAAAAGCCTAATTGCAAACAAATCTAGTCATCTTCCCAAATCACAAATTCTCCCTTAAAGGTAAAAAGGGTAACTTCATGAGCTATTATGTTCCCTTAACACGTCTCCTTTAACAGATGCAAATTAATGTACAATGGAGATCTGTAATTAGAAAAGATTACAGGCATCTTTTGCAAAGACAATAAGTGATTAAATGGTTTCTTTTTTATGAGAGAGTGGCATCTAAAAATGCCTATAACTAACCTTTTGGGGGCATTTTCGTCTGTAATGACCACTCAAGTTGCATCTCTTGCAAAAGGCTTTAGAATCAAAAGCGGCAACATCGTTTAGTTTCACGCAATCCTACACATAGGCATAAAGAGTAGAATTTCTGCCCCAAAAATTGCAACGAGCAATCGGATTACAAAAGTTGAAAAGGTCACTAACCGAACCAAAGTGGCCCAACAGCCCACATTTGTAACACGAAGCTCCTGTTGACTCATCAGATTTATCGTCCACACAGCACAGATGACCAGACTTTCCGCAAATGTAACAATCCATAGCCTGCCCGATAAAACAACTGTTGAATTTAAGAATGGAACAGTGATTTACAAGCATTTTTTTAGCTCAGCCTCATGAGATAAATACTTCTTTGTTCCTTGCCTTTTCTTAAATGATTTCCATAGCTAAAAGTGTTCCTTACAAATTAATCTTTAGGTATTCTAAAAACTATTCGTCGTTATATGGTTTGAATTTCAATTTAAAAAGTACTCTGGCGACATATTTACTCCGTCGTAGCAAGATAATACATATATTTTAATACAGAAACAGAAGCAGTAGCCACAATCCTATCAACATGAATAATTGTACTTCTAAATTTTCTATTGTTTTTCTATTCTCGTTATTCGAAACATGTACAGGTAAATCGTAACAGTGACAAAATTATCCACAACACAAGCTAATAGTCATCACTAACCACATTAAAGATTTATATGTTTCTATACAGAATACTTTCCGAAATTTCAACATATTTCCTCCATATATTAGCGAACTTAGATAAGAAAATGCTGCACAGATTTACTGCAACAATAACAGAAAATAGAAAGCAAAACATAATGTTCACATGCCTTGAGATCTTCTGAGTCATAGTTATGGGTACACGAGACAATGTCATGCCCCGTGTTTCCACATTTAACACATAGTCGAGAGGTAAAATCCACCAAGTCATTTTTATTTGGACAGTCTGTGATGAGGTGACCCTTATTGGAGCAGATCAAGCAACTAGTCACCTGCCATATCCATTAAAGCAACAAATGGAATTTAAAAAAATGGACAATAAAAGCGAACAATTTACTTTACAAGGTTCGTCCGTAAACGATATCACAGAAGTATTTCAAACGGGACTTAAAAGGTTTCAGCAGTTAGTGTGGTGGAAGAATGCTTTTAACTATTTACTTGAAATACAAGCTAAACAAGTGGAATAAAAGCAGCCCCACCAGAAAAGGAAAAGATAGAAAAATGGTTGAGAAAGTAAGAAAAGCTGCATATAGTTCTGAAGCACACGAGAGACAAACCTTGTGGCAAATCTCCCCATCGTGACCAACATCACCACAAACATAGCATCGTGTCTTCCTTTTTCTTTTATTAGTATTTCTCACGAATTTGTTGTCATTTATCATGCTTGCATCACGTTCTGTTCCCTCCGGTAAACTTGCTTTCTCTCCAGTACTTGATATTTTTTTAATAATTCCGTCTTTCTGCCTAATCTGCAGCATGTCAAAATAAAACTCAGCATCAAGTATGAACATATGACAGAGGAATTTGCTGTACTTCTGTTTAAAGCATTCGTCTCACTTTAACTAAATAATGCGAGTGGTAAAAGTACAAAGCGTATAGCTAACAAGGAATAATCCCATTTACTGATGAAAGAAACCTTAAACACCTGGATTATTATCGAATAATACTACTATTCCACACTAACTGAAATCAAGGGGGAAACAAAAGATTAGAATAAAGCTTTTAATCAACAACCTGTGTAAATCAAGATTCTCAAATAACGTCTGGTTTTTAACAATAAGAAGAGTAATATGAAGTGAGTTCGCATTAAATTCGAAGAACTCAATGATACAGCAGAGATTTGATGTAAGATAAAACCAAAAGGGAAATGAGGATTTTGATTACTAAAAAAATATAGGGAAAACCTACAGCACATAGTATCCATCGAAAACAGAATCTAAACTAATCTTTTATCTTTGAAGAATATATAAAAACAATGAAGCACCAGAATACTAACAGAGATATTCATTGTATTCGAGTTCAAATTTCACACAAACATCCAACAAAAAGGAACACTCGATAGACCAAACAACTATATATATTTCGAACTCGACAAGACTAGAAAACACGTTTCCAGGTTACCATTGGAACTTTTGCATTCAATCCTTGTTCAGGCACCGTCGATACTTCACTCTCCTCTGAAAGTTTCAAGTGACATAAGAATTAACAAAAACATCAACAAACACAATTACACCTTTCACTACACCACAAGCTATAAACAATGCGTGTGCGTGTGTGTGTGTTTAGAAATTATAAAACATTCTAAAAAATTTGGCAGATTAAAGAAGAAAACATTAAAAGCAGAAATACAAAATCAACACAACCCATCAAAAACATAAGGCCCTTTTCATGTGCTCTTGAACAACGAAACCAAAAACCCAGAAAACCCAGATGAATTCCAAAAAATTTCAATCAAATAATCAGGAAAACAAAATGGGAGGAACAACGAAAAAACAGCCCTTTTCGATCTTTTCACCAAAAAACTCAATCAATCTAAAAACTACACCCATAAGACATAACTGAGTCTGAGTTTTCGTACCCCTCTGATTTGACGTACGAACTCTGGAGCTACAATTCTAGTACAAAACTGTTCAAACTGAAAAGGGGCATTGCTTTTTCTGATTTTTGTCTTGCTTTTTCCCGTAAATTTTCTGTTTGGCAGCCCTTGAAAGATATTTCCTATTGCGAGTATAACTTGGGGTATGCTGTAGGACGCATTTATGAATTATGACGGTAGGGGCTGTAAAAGGCAAAAATAACAAAAAAACAAAAAAACTGGTTTAAATTAAATCCTCATGCATGTTGGGATGGTAATGGATGTTGGAAAATTTTAAATGCATGCTGGGATGGTAATGGATGTTGAAAGATTTTAAATGCATGCTATGTTTTTTAGTCATTATTTTGAAAGATTTTAAATGACTCATCAAACCTAGTCATTTGAAATCCACTGTTTATCACCGTTGACGGCCACGCCGTCCGCGATCATTTAGGTTCATCACCACCGCGAGTCAACACCATCGGTGCGAGCTAAACAATTTATTTATACTATTTTCAACACATCCATTCAAGGAGTGTGCAAGTAAAAAGAATATATTTAAAAAATTTTGAAATCAAGGGAATTCAAATCCCTCAAAACAAACGGAGCCTAATATTATATGATTTAAATTTATGCTAAAAAAATAATTTTGTGATATTAGATATTTTGTTTTTCTCCAATTTTGTCAGTTGCTATTGAATATAAACTTTTTTTCTTAAGTTTTGGCGAGNATAGTTATACTTTCAAGGGACACTTCTTTATAAATCCCTAAACCTCTTTTACTTTTCTTCTTCAGTCCCCACACAAAATTTTTTACTCTACACTCCCTATCCCCATAATAAAACTTCCATTTAACTCTCTCTTCTTAAAATAAATCAAAACTAAAAACACAAATGACATCACCCCCACTACCAACCTAACTTTACTTATTATTTTATTATTTCTCTCTCTTTCTACTACAATCTTTGTTAATTTTTTATTATTTTTTTCTCTCTTTTCATATTTTTTATTATTTTGTTTTTATCTCTTCTACTACTATTTTTTCTTAATTTTTTATTAATTAATATGGATTTTTTTTTGTATAAACTATCAAAATCAAAAAAATTATATTTTACTAATCTTTATTTCATATAAATATATATTATACTAAATTTATAAATCTATATTTTTGTCATTCAAATTTATCAAGTAATTCTCTAAAATTAAATTATAAATTTTAAATTTATAAAAAATATTTATTCAAAGATCTATCTAATTTTCAAGAAGAATATATATCAACTAGTACGATACCCTTGTGTTACACGGGTACGTAAATATATTAATATTTGTACAATAGAATAACTAAAATAATTTATTTTTATTTTGTAAAATTATGTATAATGAATATAAAAATAATGAATAACAAACAAAGTAATAATTAATTCAAAAAGGGTCTGTATTTTGCACTTAATTTTCTTAATTTATTTAAAATCTATTACAAAATGCATTAAAATGATTATTTTATGGTGTATTATGGAATTAGATTTTTATTATATTCGTTATCAAATAATTTATGTTCTATTCATATTTTTTTAAATTATTTTTCTAATAAATATAGTTTTATTTATAATGAGAGATGTAATTATTTTTTATTTTATATATGCAATATAGATGTCAAATCGAAGATCATTAAAATATGATTATTTTGAGAAATAACATACAAAAAAAAATTATAAAGATTTAAAAATAAAAAGAATACATATTTATTATAACAATTATTATATGAATTAAATAATAAAGAGTAAGAGTAGTATATGGTAACTTGAGAAAAAAACCTAAAATAGTTTATAGTAAATATCAAGCCTAAGACGGAACATGTACATGTGTCAATACAAAGCATATAATTATGTCAAATAAACTTCTGAAGCATATGAGTCTGCTACTTAGGCTCGTGGCATTCGAAAATTATATATAGGGGCGATTTATAAAATTATCAATAATATCTTATGACAAGTTATTATAGGGATATGCAAAAAATTGAGAATTATATTACCTTGATTTTATAATAAATCAACCTAAAATTCGACTATCATACTCATACCAAATAAAATTCATACCACTTATTTTATTTTCAAAATTAAATACACTTCTATCCATACCATATGAAACCCATATCATTTAAATTTGGACAATTCATGCCAAAATAAAACTGCACTCAATTTATTAATCCTAATACTCAACTATTATCTTATTCTAAAATTTAGTGTCATATAATATTATTAAAATATTTTTTTTAAAATTAACAACCAATTTTAATATATGAAAATATTTGATATTTTTAACAAACAAAATTTTATACTCTAATAGCTTACGCAACACGAATTCGGTGTTTTTATGTGTCCATTACAAGTGGTACTGAAGTCTCAATACCAAGTACTACAACAATACAAAATTGGTACTATCTAACTCTATGTCTGGTACTACTTTTTGTAAATGTTGATCAAAATTGAAATAATCCATTTTCATTCACAAAAGTAGGTACTAATCGATAAAAAACAGGTACCACGTAGAAGAAGATGCGGTACTATTTTGGCTAAAATAGGTACTATTTTAATAATCTGATTTCTCTAATCCTTCATGTCTACCATGACACGAGGATCGTTCGTGCGTGATTTGGATGAAAAATAGTGAAAGTCAAAACATATAGGTAGCATTTGGAGTAGTCATCTACGATGATTCTATGAGTTGAAGTGTGTCATTCAATTAAATGAAGCGTATTAGTAGTGTTTTATCCTTAGTGTGTCGAGTTCATGACTAAATTGCGATTAAACTCAATCTAAAACATTTTAAATCTCATACAAACTAATATGAGAGTGATTATTGGTCATATAAACATCATTTGAGACCGAAATTCAGTGTTTTTATGTGTTCGTTACAAGTGGTACTAAAGACCCGATATCTGGTACTAAAACACCGAAAGCTGGTACTATTCTATTCTAGGTCTGGTATCAATTATTACAAATGTTGACCACAATTGAATAATCCATTTTTGTTGACCAAAAGTTGGTAGTAATTGATAAAAAACAGGTACCACGTAGAAGATGATGCGGTACTACATTGGCTAAAACAGGTACTATTTTAAGAATGTTGATTTCTCTAATCCTTCATGTCTACCATGACACGTGGATCGTTCACGCCTGATTTGGATAAAAAATAGTGAAAGTCAAAACATATAGGTAGAATTTGGAATAGTCATGTATGATGATTTTATGAGATGAAGTGTGTCATTCAATGAAATGAAATGTATTTTAGTGATTTCTCATTAGTGTGATGAGTTTTGTGACAAATTTGCGATTAAACTTAATTAAACACGTTATAAATCTCATACAAACTAATATGAGAGTGATTATTGGTCATATAAACATCATTTGAGACCGAAATTCAGTGTTTTTATGTGTTTGTTACAAGTGGTACTAAAGACCCGATATCTGGTACTAAAACACCGAAAGCTGGTACTATTTTATTCTAGGTCTGGTATCAATTATTACAAATGTTAACCACAATTGAATAATCCATTTTCGTTGACCAAAAGTTGGTAGTAATTGATAAAAAACAGGTACCACATAGAAGATGACACAGTACTATATTGGCTAAAATAGGTACTATTTTAAGAATCTTGATTTCTCTAATCCTTCATGTCTACCATGACACGTGGATCGTTCACGCCTGATTTGGATGAAAAATAGTGGAAGTCAAAACATATAGGTAGAATTTGGAATAGTCATGTATGATGATTCTATGAAATGAAGTGTGACATCCAATGAAATGAAGTGTATTTGTAGTGATTTATCATTAATGTGTTGAGTTTGTGACCAATTTGCGATTAAACTTAATTAAACACGTTATAAATCTCATACAAACTAATGTGAGAGTTATTATTGGTCATATAAACATCATTTGAGACCGAAATTCAGTGTTTTTATGTGTTCGTTACAAGTGGTACTAAAGACCCGATATCTGGTACTAAAAGACCGAAAGCTGGTAATATTCTATTATAGGTCTGGTAACAATTATTGCAAATGTTGACCACAATTAAATAATCCACTTTCATTGACCAAAAGTTAGTACTAATTGATAAAATACAGGTACCACGTAGAAGATGATGCGGTAATATATTAGCTAAAACAGGTACTATTTTAAGAATCTTGATTTCTCTAATCCTTCATGTCTACCATGACACGTGGATCGTTCACGCCTAATTTGGATGAAAAATAGTGGAAGTTAAAACATATAGGTAGAATTTGGAGTAGTCATGTATGATAATCCTATGAGATGAAGTGTGTCATTCAATAAAATGAAGTGTATTTGTTGAGATTTCTCCTTAGTGTGTTGAGTTTGTGACCAATTTACGATTAAACTTAATTAAACACGTTATAATTCTCATAGAAAATAATGTGAGAGTGATTATTGGTCATATAAACATCATTTGAGACCGAAATTTGGTGTTTTATTATGTTATTCGGAGTTGGTACTAAAGACCCGATATTTGGTACTAAAACTCCGAAAGCTGGTACTATCTTACTTCAGGTCTGGTACCAATTATTGCAAATATCGACCACAATTGAATAATCCACTTTTGCTGACCAAAAGTTGGTACTAATTCATCAATAACGGGTATTGCGAAGAAGAAAGTGTGGTATTATTTGCTTCAAAACATGTACTATTTTACAAAAATCAATTTTTTTTACGTTCGTCGGAGTTGGTACTGAAGACCCGATATTTGATACTAGAACACCATAATTGCAGAATTATCTTACTCTAGAGCTAGAATTAATATTGCAAATATTGACCAAATTGCAAGTAATCCATTTTTTGTTCTTTCTACATAGTAGATACTAATTCATCAATAACTGGTAGTACATAGAAGAAGGAGTGGTATTATTTGTTGAAAAACTAGTACCATTTTACGAGATACGTTTTTTTCTTTTATGTTCGTCGGAGTTGGTTAAAAAATATTAATTAATATAGGTAGAATTATTAATTAATATACTAAACGAACCGTTCACGCGTGATTTGGTTGAAATAAAAAGTGTATTAATATTGTTTTCTGATTAGTGTGTCGAGTTCATGACCAATTTGCGATTAAACTCGATTAAAAACATTTTAAATCTTATAGAAACTAATTCATGAATCAAAATAATGTGCTAAAATATT